TTAAATTAAACAAATATCGTTTTTTTATCTTTTCTTTTTTTTAGGAAAAAATATAGTTTGTGAATAATTGTAGAAACGCAGAAAAATGAACCCTACAAAGAAAAAAAGTGAGTGTTTCGTATAACATGTTTCGAATATCTCATTTATGCATAATTAATATATATTTTAACCACAAACTTTCGAAAAACCCTTTAAACATTCGAAGGAAAAGGTTCTATTCCATTTTGGAGAGCAGCTTAAGAGTCGCCAAACTATTATTGACGCTAATAATGCTAAATTAGATGTTATTTTAAGTACAACTGATATTGTGGTATACAACAGAAAGACCAGAAACTCAGACCCACAAAACACTGCAAATAAAAATTCACATTCTTTGTTCTTTTCAAATGTATTTCTTCCTTTTTGATAATGCGTAAAATACGCTAATATTTTTATTTCTGCAAAAAAACTTAATTTAAATACTTAATAAAAATAAATTAATGAAAAAATACTAATAATTCTCAAATAAAAGCGTATTTTTCGAAGAAAGTAGGTATATGTGTACAAATAACAGTCTAAAAATTAATCCTGACTTTGTTTAATTTTCTTTAACTAAGCTAATAATGATATAAAAGTCAATGTTATGCTTATTCCTCATTGAATCTGTTTTTTTATAATGTCAATTAACATTCGTCTTCTGATTTTTATAAAAAAAATGAAAAAAGAATGGCGAAAGGATACCTTAGATTTATTTGCAAATATAAAACTAAAAATAAAGGAAGATTCAATAAAATAATAATAAAAATAGTAAATATTTACTAAAACTTACTTTTTGCATGGGATTATCTTTGGATAAACGAATTTTATAATTGTATGCAAAAATCTTTCAATTCGCTTAAAAACTTCTCGAGATATAGCGAAATACGCAAAAAGCAAAATTAACATTCTGGAGTCCAAACTTTGGAGTGCTCTCCTGATTAAACTATGGGGACCATATTTCCCAGATTGCGGCTACCACCTATATTTTGGAGGTCAAAAATCCGAGTCTGTTAAAAAAAAAGGTATGTTTATTGAGACAGAGTACGTTTTTGTGTCTAATTACGTAACTTAAAATATCGTGTGCACTTAACAATAAACATATTTGAGGTCACCCCCTCGAACAGTTAAGATGGAGCCCTTAATCATGACGTTCCGATCATTAGATTAGAAGTTATTCAGAATTGTCGGTTCATTTTTTTTTTAAGTGATACTTCTTATGCGACTTCCAACAAGGTTGCGTTAAACGTTTAACGCTACATTTTTATTGGCCGGGAAATCACGTGGTAGGATCCAGTTTTCCCTCATTCATTTCCATATTGTTTCGGTTCTCACTAGCATAAAAATAATAATAGTATTGTTTTTCTATAAATATTTTAGTTTGATTTGATACACATATAATTTGATAGGGTAGTATTTTTTATTTTCAAACTTAGTGGATAACAATTGTAAAAAATGAGTGAAAATAATCCCACGGACAATGTGACGGATTTAAGGTTATGTCAAGATACGTCTCGTGTGAATATAAATTGATTGTTAGGTTTTCTCTTTCCTAATTGCCATTTATATTTCACCAAATGCAGCCATGAGGGATATTAAATTATTTATTTCAAAATCTTTATTGCCACTTCAGGTTCACAAGCTCTGGCAGACGTTACTGGTGAAGAAATTAATTATTGTGAGCGGCCTGTGATCCTTGCAGGAGATTTTAATGTGAATTTCTCGTTACCTGAAGCTGAAACATTATTAACCTTCCTTAAAGACAAATTTGGATTGGAAATGATAAATGGTAGGAATGATCCAACAACCAAAGGGGTAACTACCATTGATGCAGTTTTTGCAAGAAATATTGAAAAAATAGAACTCAAACATTTCGTATCTTACTTTAGTTATCATAATCCCATTGTAAATGTTATAGATTTGGATATTTCTCCACTCGAAAATGATAATTAAAAGATGCGATCAAGTGTGAATTGTAAGCATTGTTAATAAAGTTTGTCTTAAAGAAACAATATGATTTCACTAAAAATCAATTTCTACTCCTTCCTATTTTCATTTCCACATTACGAAGTTTCACTTCTTCCGCGCGGAGGGACTCCACGCACTATTTTTTTATTTTGCTTACTGTACACTTCAATGTTGAAATAAGAAGTATCTAGCATTAACCTTAATTTACCACCACTACTAAAGTTTTCCTATTACCGCGGGTAATAGGACTACCACTTGAAAATATGTATTTGTTGTCCGGAATAAGTTGGTATCTCTGATTATTTAGTTGATTGTTTAGTATGATTAGTTGACTATTTAGAATCATGCTCGCCTAATCGCTTAAAATGATGCTAAGTTGTTGTTTTTTTAAAGTACTTTGGATTACATTTATTTTGTTTGTCCAGCTGCGAAAAAAACGTATCGTTTTACATACACTGATAAATAAAAATGACCTTGCGTTATGAACTTCAAACATTTTTCTTTCTTTGTGCATTGCAAAAGCATTTGAGAGTTTTTATCATCTTGCATACAGAATTATGCAGATTGATAAACGATTCATGAGATAATATTTCCATTTAATTTAGAAACAAAAACTTTCTCTTTGTATCTTAATTGTATGCATTTTTATTCGGCAATAGTGTTTGAGTGATGATTAATCGGATGATATCACTATATTTTTACGAAGCAAAAGGTTGCAAATAAACTTTGTTTAAACTTTAATTACTAGAAACGAATCGTAAATACATATTGTAACAAGTGGCCACACGTTTTTGGATTTAAATAGAAATAGAAGGTAAGTGTTTTTTTTAATAAAACAATTTGTCTAGATTACTAATCGTCTGTAATTTTCCTTTTTTTTCAAAGAAAGAAAAAAATTGGGGGCATAACTCAAAATACAGGAAGGAAACCGATATCTCTTATAATAGCAAATGTTTGGCTACTGTTGGCACAGTTAGTGAGATTTTGTTAGAAGCTTTTAGAAATGATACAATTTTACTCATGCAAATTTTTTATCAATCAAAATGAGCTTAGGAATTTTAAAGCTTCTTCGGGATTCCCATGACCTGGGGAAATAAATGAGTGGTAGCTAAGATTTTTCAAGAAATGCTTAAAATTATCTTTCATTTGTGAATTACGAAATTGTTTACGAATTAATTTTTGCACCCATGTATATTTCCTTCATATTAAATATTTATTGATAGCTTAAAACATCTAGGTATATATCAATTTCGCTACCACTTTAAAAAAAAATTCCAGACCTTGGGAACCCTATTCTTTATTTTTCTACACCAGTATAATTTGAAAAGCATTCTAACATATATGAGTACATTGCCATACCTGCCAACTTTTAATCCCTTCCATTCTGATATTTTCCAGTGGTATTAAAATGGAATTAAAATTTAATTTTTAAGCCAGAAAATACGTTGTACTTGAAAAAGCTTAAGCTGACAACAATGATAGCAACACATATCAATATATATGCTTAATTTTTTTAAGTATAGTGGTGATCAAAAACATTTAAAAATTAAGTTTATAAAAGAAGAAAAAGTATATATTTACTACCACTTTATATATAAAAATAAAATTTTACACCAAATGCGTTAAAGTTGGCAGGTATGTATTGCACTCTGTAAAATTATTAAAAAAATCGCTGGTATTGAAACTAGATAAAAAATTATTCTCATTTAGGTTAATCCGAATGTTGCATGCGTAAATATGATAACATTTCTAAAAAGGGTAAAGCATGATCTTTAAAATAGTACAATAAATCTTCGCCAAGTAAAATCTTCCTAAAATTTAATGCTAAAAGAAAATTTTTTTACATAGAGTTAGTACACATATGTTCCATATTTTTGTCCAACCCCTGTATTAGAATGAACCCACCTGATAGCCTATAAAGCTAAATTATCGTAGACAATCTTTGTTCCACGGAGAGGAAGGGTGGGGTTTAAATAGTAGCACGTAAAAACTTATAGAAAAATTAAATAATTTTAAAAAAATACTTTGCTTTTAGAAATTTTAAAATGCGTGAAAGACTTATTCATACATTACTAACTACAACAACTCCAAAAAGTAGTACTGATTGCCATCAATACAACATAAGAGAGCGTGTACTTGGTAATGAAACGAACCTAATGGTTTGAGTTATGCTTCTATCCTGAACATAATAAATGAAAACATTATTAAAGAGTCATAGACATTTTAAACATCTACATTTTTTTTAGAAGTGCATATTTTATTATTGCTTAAATACCTACTTATTTCACTCTATTTCTTATAATCGTCGTTGAACTGCCGACCCAATTTTTGGGGTTACGACTACTAATGTTCAACTCCACAGCCTTGTAATTTTGAACCCGATCCAGAAGACAAGGGAACCCCTGGATCAAGTATTAGGAGAACTTTGCCTTCGTGGAGAACTTCCTGATGAAACTAGCTCGCATTTGCGTTACATGGAGAGGAAGACCACGAGAACCTCCTACGGTTAGCCTGGTGGCAAGGAAACTCTAACCCATGATCCGTCTACCACTGAGGATATTTCACGTCAGTACTGTGGTCGGTGCAAGCCGGATTCAGATTTCGTATCGACCAGCCATCGCCGGGATCGAACTCCAGTCCACCTCATTAGAAGGTGAACGCTATCCCCTGATCCATCGCTGCCTATTTCACTCTATTGACATTCTTCCATTTTCATACAAACCCAATTTTACTTTTTTCAAGGAACATTTTCCCAAATGGAAGTGAAATGACAATTGTAGGTATAACAATTTCTATTTTAAATTGTCAAAGCTTAAACACACCATCGAAATATTATCATGCATTTACAAACATGCGTTATCTATAAATGTAGAAAGAAAATGCTGCGAAAAATCATTAAAAGATGGCAATTATACATTATAAGTTCTTTTTCAAAACTTGACAAAAAAAATAACAATAATTTTTTTCTTCTAGCCATTTTTACAAAAGCAGTTTTTGCTGGAAAATGAGCTCAAAATCACGGAAGCAAAGGGTTTTCTTCCGTATCGAATGGGATATCTCACAGACTGGATGATTACTAAAGCCAAAGAAGAAATAAACGAAACTGATCAAAATCGAGGTCCCGCTCTCGAGGAATTCCGAAGTTTCATAATCAGTAAGTACTATATAGCTGTCAACAAGTATAGTCGTTGGAAAAGATTTCACGAAGTTGGAACTTTGGCAGCTTTTGGAGACGGCTGCTTCGTTTAACCCTTTGCTTACGGCTAGTACAATAAGTCGGCCAGAATGGCTTCTTTATGCTAAGCAAAAGGTTAAAAGGAAAATAAGCCGTAAGCAAAAGGTTAAAAGGAAAATAAACCGTAAGCAAAAGGTTAAAAGGAAAATAAACCGTAAGCAAAAGGTTAAAAAGAAAATGCGCCGTAAGCAAAAGGTTAAGTAAGAATTTTGTAAAGCAGCCGTCGCCAAAAGCTCCCAAATGTCCACCAAAAATATTCAAGTGGTTCGTAATTTCGCAGCCACTTCGATTCTGATAAAATTCAACTGCTCGTTCGTTCGTTGTAGTGGAACTGGGCGTCTGAGGCCTTGCTGCCCTTTTCCCATTCATCCTGAAATTAAACTAAGAAACATACATGACAAAATTAAAGTTTGGGGAGCAAAATAGAGTTCTTGAGAGAAGAAAAATGGCACTTTGCCATTATTAGCCAATAACAAAATTACAAGTAATAAAAAAGTACATGAAAAAAGGTAAAATTAAAGTACAATTGGAAAATAAACACTAATGAATATTTACAGTTTGGAAATACATACAAAAGGCGAGCGAGTTATAGGAATGTGAGGATGTGTGTATATGTGTATGTAAGTGTGGCTCTGTTAAAGCAGAGACCCGGCCGTCCTGGTAATTACCACTCGTGCCGGGTAGCTCTCCACACTTAACACGTTCACGCCGGGGTGACCTACCGCTGGGTCACGCTTGATTTTCTAATCTTGGCAGCGCACCGGAGTAAAAACTGGTAACAATAAATTTCATTTTTTAGTTTTGTTTCCGGGAATAATAAAAATCCATATCTATCAATTCTTTTTAAGGAATACAATTTTTATCTTGAATTGCTTCTTCGCCGTGATAAATTTCCTTACAGTGAATTGTTGAGAATAGATTAACTCCTCCCTAATATTATCTAATATTGAAATAGTTCTTCTACCAGTATTTTCACTTTTCCCGGCGTGAACGTGTTAAGTTACAGGGATTAGCTTACTCCTGATCAGACCCCGAGGGGTTGCTATTTCACAGGGATAAGCTTAATCTGCTTGTGAATAACTCAGTGAGTGTTTGCGTTGTTAAATGTTAGTATGATATCAGAAGTGTGCAATGGGTTGAATTTTTGCATCCTCTTTGAGATTTATGCAGTCGAAAATATCATTAAAATTCGTGGTATTGCAGGTGGCGGCTTTAATAAAGAAGTTTCTGTTTAATTTGTTGAAATGACGGTCAATGTTAAGATCTCTATGAATGGCGTAAAATTCAACTGCACGTGTCAGACTTCCATTTATGCCATAATTTTCCAAATCTTTCGGGTGATCAAAAAAAAATGTAATGATCCATTTTTAAAAACAAGACATGCATTTATATATACACTAGGAGGCTTCGCCCCCTGCTCGCTGGTGCTCACCAACCCCTCCGGAACTGCTTTCGCAGTTCAATCCGATGCTCGCTTTGCTCGCTCATTGGACACGTTCTNAAAGGTAAAATTAAAGTACAATTGGAAAATAAACACTAATGAATATTTACAGTTTGGAAATACATACAAAAGGCGAGCGAGTTAAAGGAATGTGAGGATGTGTGTAAGTAAGTGTGGCTCTGTTAAAGTAGAGACCCGGCCGTCCTGGTAATTACCACTCGTGCCGGGTAGCTCTCTACACTTAACACGTTCACGCCGGGGTGACCTACCGGTGGGTCACGCTTGATTTTCTCATCTTGGCAGCGCACCGGAGTAAAAACTGGTAACAAATAAATTTTATTTTTTAGTTTTTTTCCGAGAATAATAAAAATCCATAACTACCAATTGTTTTTAACGAATGCAATTTTTATATTGAATTGCTTCTTCGCCGTGATAAATTTCCTTACAGTGAATTTTTTTTGTTGAGAATAGATTAACTCCTCCCTAATATTATCTAATTTTGAAACAGTTCTTCCACCAGTATTTTCACTTTTCCCGGCGTGAACGAGTTAAGTTACAGCGATTAGCTTACTCCTGATCAGACCCCGAGGGGTTGCTATTTCACAGGGATAAGCTTAATCTGCGTGTGAATAACTCAGTGAGTGTTTTTGTTGTTAAATGTTAGTATGATATCAGAAGTGTGCAATGGGTCGAATTTTTGCATCCTCTTTGAGATTTATGCAGTCGAAAATATCATTAAAATTCACGGTATCGCAGGTGGCGGCTTTAATAAAGAAGTTTCTGTTTAATTTGTTGAAATGACGGTCGATGTTAAGATCTCTATGAATGGCGTAAAATTCAACTGCACGTGTCAGACTTCTATTTATGCCATAATTTTCCAAATCTTTCGGGTGATCAAAAAAAATGCAATGATTCGATTTTAAAAGCAAGACATGCATTTATATATACACTAGGAGGCTTCGCCCCCTGCTCGCTGGTGCTCACCAACCCCTGGAACTGCTTTCGCAGTTCCAGGGGTTGCGCGCGCCGAAGCCTATCAATTAAAATCATTAGAGTTTTATATAATATAGATTAGCCATATGATACTCACTACGTGCTCTTGCGCGCCGAATCCTATCAATTAAAAATGAAAACTGTTGCCAACGCGAGAAAAGAAATATCATCGGTTTTATTGATACATACGTATTAGCGTTTTATATAATATAGATTGCTTATTATGTATGATGTACATTTTGCTACAGCTTGAATATTTTCGACGCACCTGTCCGAGCTCCGCTTATCCTAAATTGGCACTATATTTCCAGACAACCCAATATTTTGAAGTATAATTTACGAAACGCTGATGTTAATTAGTATTAACTTTTTTAAAACTATTTTTCGGCCTTTACTATACAGCTGTCTCAAATGTTAATTTAAAATTAAAAAATTGATATAACTCCCTTATCTTCCATATTTTTTGGAATATTTAACACGTTGAATGCCTCTCTGATTTTACATGGCTTGCCAGTCTGGCCACAATGTAAATATCTACTAATTAAATTTGCAAATATTAGACAGATTTTGCTAGTTTTACCATTACATATCTGGTCTCCTGTGGCCCTTTTCTCATTCATCCTGTAATGAGAACATAAGCAAACACAATAGACAAATGACATAAAATGCTACAAATAATGGCACATGTTAATAACATAACGGAAAAAAGTGGTGAATTATATAAGCCTACGAATTGTTTAGAAATAGAGGTGGATAAAAAATTTACTAAATTGAATTTATTAAACCAAGAATCACAACTAATAAACTACCACTTGAGAATATTTATTCGCTGTCAGGAGCAAGTTGGCATCTATGTGTATATAAATAAAACTATTTTTGCGTGTTCTATATTGCATTAATTTCTTCAAAACATTTTAGTAACGATAATAATATTAAAAAATTAAAAATATACTCGAATTATGTGTTTCTAATAATCTTGGTTTCGCCGGTCACCCCCATGGAATTCAACGTGTTAAATAAGGTTTGGCGGAAAACTCATTCCGCGTCAGGATGTGAATGGCTGCTTTATATAATAAAAAAATAGTGGTTGGCCATTTAACCTTAAATCTATAAATGTACCGTTTAGTTCTGTCGGATATTTTCATTACAAGTTTGAATATTTATGCATGTGCTCTTTTTTGCCATATATGCTATATCCTTAAACAGGAACACTAACATTGAGTTAAATGGAAAATATCCTACCATTTTCTTTTATAAAAGAGCTTTTTCGATTAATGTGAGATTCACATAGTACTCTGCAAGGGCAGAACTTCCCTGCAGACATAATACATATATTTAGTGATAACAAAACTTATGCTCTTCTGTTTCATTCGTTGACTTCGTAATTAAAATAATTTTAACCACCTCTACACACATATGAATAAATTAAATATTCATAGATAAATGCATACAAAGCACGCATGAAGATGTATAAACCTTGGTAAATTATAATAATGTTCCCCCAATTGAAGTTTTCTTTCAAATTCCAATTGCACTTTCAGGGATTCCTCAAGCAACTAAAAATGTAAGAAGTAGTAGAAAATCTTTATTTTATTTACCTAATCTAAAATCACAAATACCACCATAACTTACATTGAAAATTATTTATACTTAAAACAAAAAAAATTTTATATTTAAACTGAATATTAAGCTGAAAGAAATATGCTATAATAAAGTTGCTAATTTTTTTCATTTGTCAATGTTTTACAGAAAAAAACAGATCTAGACTGTTGGACAGATGATGCTTCTTTATTGCAATTTCTGAGAGCAAGGAAATTTAAAGTTAAAGATGCAATGGAGCGTTTGCACCATTTTTTCACTGTAAGAAAGAACTTCCCTGATGTGTACCCTGAAAACTTGGATCTTGACACTTTGAAAAAATTATTAGATTGTGGTGCTGCCAGCTGTTTGCCATACAGAGATGAAAATGGTAGCGTCGTTATTATTTTTAAAATATGTAAGTAAACTTGTGCTTAATTAACATTACATAGTCACTCACCATACTTAAAATCTAATAACAACACGATATGCAAAGCACAGACGGCTATTTAAGTAACATGAACTAGTACTAACATCAGTGCTGAGGTTTGAAACAAAAAGTTCGATAGACAGGAATACGTTTTGGTACTTCATTTAAATTCCGAATTTGCGTTTACTATAATACTAAAAATGCAAAAACTCTATATACCTATATGTGTTTGTTATCTGAGTACACAGTCCATTTAAGGGCTTTAACTCATCCATCTGATTGAGTGATGTAATAAAATTTGCGGAGTGCAGCAATGATGATGGGGGTAGGGAGTGGCCAACGTTCTGGAGACCTGTTTCCCCCGCTGTTTTCCACGGCTTTCACAGGTTGCTCTCCAGGAACAGTCCTGATTATGCATAATGAAAATACAAAATTTAAAAAATAAGATAAAACGAAAAAATTAATAAAAACACTAAATACAATGGGGAGAGAAAATTAGATACATTATTTACGGAATTTCTTTGGGAATACCCCTTTCGAAAGGAAGAGTGCAGTCGCCGGGCTATATCTAGTATTTTCTTGGATGAGGTCAAAATTAAAAATAACTACACTTGAAAGTTAGCATAACGCTTTGCCATACGTCTCAGAGACTAAAATAGCATGTCTGGCGTCATCGCAGTTATATATTTTAGTAATTTCTGACGCCGAATCGTAATTATCATCTAAACTATCTCCTAAATTAATTTTAATCCACGTTGGGTTTATCTCAGTTAGTTCAACTGCGTTAGCAGATAATGAAATTTGCTGGCCCTTAAAAGGGCCTGTCTTCCGTTGCACTATTAACCGAAACGGAATTCTCTATCTCATGGAAATCCATGTTGCGATCCATATTTTCCATTACGCTGAAGTGGAGCCGTATGAATCTCTGAACCCACCCAGAAAAAACAAACACCGACTCGTCGTTTAGTTGTCCCCGGGATGCTTCTATAGCACAAGACATCCACCACGAGTCAGTCAATACCATACCAGAGGCAATATAAAAAAGAGCTTTGAAGGACAGGCAGGAACAGTCTTGCTTCTGCTTCACGCGGAACCCACTAAACAAACGGAAAACCGCTCGGGATCTTTTCTTGCCTTCTCTGGATATCGAGGATCCTTCACAGGCAACGTCGAATGGAATGATGCAATATCTCTTGCGTTGCTACTAGATAAGTATATTTTTTAAAAAAAACATTAAGCGCAGTGGTGGGCAAGGATTCATAAAAATACATTTTATTTTCTAACTTTCGCTACCACTTTTAAAATTTGCTACCCAGTTGTTTTATTCACAATTGAGGTTGTTTCGAAGATGATGAAAATCTACTTTAGAGCAATCAGCTTAGGGAAGTTGTTTTGAAGTTGTAGGGATTATTTTTCCACACCTCAAGCAAATACGTATATTTGAGGTGTGAATAATTTCCTCCCGATCTAAGCTAAATTTATTTCTGAGTTACATATGAGGCTGATTTTGTAAGGTGTAAATGAGGTTGACACATAGAGGTATATTAGGTTTATTAATGAGGTTATTTTTGGTGCAAAACATGTCCTCATTTTCTACATCAGGTGTATTCTTTTTTTATATTTGTCAATCTCATAATACCCTATTTTTTGTAACAGATGTCCTTTGTCTCTTTTGCGCATATTTCTTGAAATTATTTATTGGTATATTTGATTACAGCCAAATGGGATCCAGATATTTTTTCTTTTCAAGTTGTTCTTACTGCAATGACAGCGACAATTTTGAGTGCTGTAGAAGACCCAGCAACTCAAGTTTGTGGAACGCAAATTGTAGTCGACATGCAGGGTACTTGCATGAAACATATACGCCAAATCACACCTAGATATATTCAATTGCTTTCTAACGCACTCAGAGTATGTAATGTTTTGGTTTTTTATAATTTAAATAATTTAAAAAAAAGAAAAAAAGATTATTCTATTTCCGTTATTTTTGGATTAAACAGATGCGTCAGGTTGCATTTAAATGCCTTAACTACCACTATATTAGCAGATATGCCAACTGCTCCAGACACGCCGAAATAATTAATAAAACGGCAAATAACTACACAGTAAATTTAGCAAATATCTGACTATTTTTGCTTGCTTTATAAAAGGAATAGCATGACATTAATACTCCAAAGTGGTGAATTATATAAGCCTACAAATTATTTAGAAATAGTGGTGGATAAAAATCTACTAAATTGAATTTATTAAACCAAAAATTACAATTGATAAAATACCACTTTAAAATATATATTTGCTGTCCGGAGCAAGTTGGCATCTCTGTATTAAACCCATTTAAGCTCAGTCGCAAGAAGTGATCTTTGTATGAAAAGTACTTAGGTGAGGAAAAAAAAGTGGTTATGTATAATATTTTAAACCAAGAGATTAATTTTTGTTATCTAACACTATAACGTTTAAAAAAGACTGTAATTGAGCTTCAGATCCAAATTTAATATTAATATTTTAAGTATATTTCGGTAGAGAGAACTATCTTGTTTCTGTAAAATATATCCCAATTTTAAAATAGCTGTGATACTACTTTCTGCGTTTTGTTATTAAAATAACAGTCCTTTAATTCGAACGAATGTTCCAAGGGGCTAAAAATTAATTCGGTAATCAAATTTTAAGAAGCAGATCTGTAGCTAACGTTTAGAACTTTTAGACGCATGAATCATAAATGCGCAGAATCATGATGAATAACACGACGAGTAGGCGATAGCTTAAATGCGGGCATGGCTAATTTAACAGACTTAATTCTGTTTTCACTTTAATTCTAATATATCAAATGCATTACAGTTCAAAGTGTAACTATATAATTTTTATTTTGAACTAAGTAGTGGAGAATTAAATAGATGAAGCACACAAATAAACATGTAAAGAATAATTTTTCTGCCAGTAATATTTGCTTTACAGTGATTACCACCCTGAAAATACATGCATGACTTGCCCGTTTGGAAGTAGTTCGGCACAGGGTTTCAACCATTTGAATTCGGGTGGTAATTCTACTCCTCCAATCATGTACGAAATGCCATAAATATCACTAATATATTACAAGTCAATTACGTATGAAATTATTTTACCGGTATTATCTTATATTTCTATTTAACACGCTCACGCCGGGCTGACCCACCGGTGGATCACGTTATATTGTCTCATCGGGCGGCGCACCGGAGTAAAAACTGGTACCAAATAAATTTCTAGTTTTTTTCTGGGAATAATAAAAATCCATAACTACCAATTGTTTTTAACGGATGCAATTTTTATATTGAATTGCTTCTTCGCCCTGATATATTTCCTTACAGTGAATTGTTATTATTGAGAATAGATTAACTCCACACGAATATTATTTAATATTGAAACAGTTCTTCTACCAGTATTTTCTCTTTTTCGTCCCACTTTCAGGCGCAACCCCCGGCGTGAACGTGTTAAATAAAAAATTAATTCTGGGCCATAGATGGCGCCACTTGAAAACAAGAACAATCACTCTCCCTTGCCTTAATGGCCTACGACAACAACAAATAAGAAGTTTATTTGTAGTTAAAAATATCTAGATTTATCTCACTTTTACAGCCACTTTAAAAAATTTCCAGACTGTACGAACTCTGATAAAGATCAAAATTATTCCCAAAGTACTTTTTGCACCCATATATGTTTCTTTTAAATAAAAAATTAATTCTTGTCCATAGATGGCACCACTTGAAAACAAGAACAATCGCACTCCCTTGCCTTAATGGCCTACGACAACAACAAATAAGAAGTTTATTTGTAGCTTAAAATATCTAGATTTATCTCACTTTTACTGTCACTTTAAAAAATTTCCAGACTGTACGAACTCTGACAAAAATCTTTGTACTAATTATTTTATTTTTATTTAGAATGCACTTCCAGTAAGATTTAAAGGCATCCACATAGTTAATGAATCATTTCTCTTTGGTTACGTCTACAGTGTCCTAAAGGTATTTCAGACTGAAAAGATCAAGAAGAGGGTAAAGTATTTTGACCTGTCTTATAAATGATTTAAAAGTTGTACCCATGTAGCAAAATAATAACAAAATAAATAAAAATTCCACTTTAAAAATTGCAATTTAATTTTAGGTTTTAAAGCTAAATAAAATCCTTTAAATTATTAATATGATCTAATAAATAAAAATATCTTATTTTAACTAGAGAGTTAGGAAAAGTATCACCAATTCTCCTACTATTTTTTCATTTATAACAGGACGCCGTATAACAGGTTCAAGTTTATTGCTTATATAATCTTTTATCAGAAATACCTAATCCTGCAGGCTATCTGCTTCTTCATCTAAGATGAGCAAATGAAGGGATAGAGATTTGTTGTAGAGATTTGGGATTATGATTCGTACTGCAATTATTCTGGTGGTACGTATCTTTGTAAAAATACATACAAAAAATATTGCGAGGATGCCACAGGCGACTAAAAATGTAAAAAGTGTAAAAACTTAATTCATTTTAGTCTATTTTTAGCACTTTAATTATCCAATCGTAACTACCTCTAATACTTATAGTTGACATTATTCATAATTAAAGCAAAACCTTTCTTTACATTATAATATAATAAAAAATGGGTAAAAAATACTATAAAATATCTGCCAAAAATATCATGCTACAGAAAAAGCATAGTTTCCTCCTGTAGCATTCAAATATTTGTGGGAATATGGCGTTATTTAATCCTGCAAATTGACAATCAATACAATATAGTACAAATCAATTAATTGTTCAAATTATATAGATTTAAATATTTTATGTTGTGAACTTCTCTTCATACTACATTCATTGGCCAAAAGAAATTTTGTCTAATGGGTAGACAAATAAACAAAAGATTAACCCTTTGCCCTGCGACTACTTTTAAATGCTGTTTGATTTGATATCAGCACTATAGCGTTTAAAAATACACAATATATTATTGTTATACAATTTTAAAATCCTTGAAATAATGTGGTTACTAGTTATTAAGGTATAAAATTTCTTAATTTTAAAGTGGTGATTGTTGATGGTGCCTCCGTGGGGACATCCGAGTGCAAAAGTGTTAAAAAACAGAATTGACCGAAATCATTGCCAGATTGCAAGAGCTCCTTGCCAATAAAGCGCAGTTTCTGAGTCTCCTTTAACACGTTCACGCCGGGGTGACCCACCGGTGGGTCACCCGAGATTGTCTTATCGGGCGGCGCACCGGAGTAAAAACTGGTAACAAATAAATTTCATTTTTTAGTTTTTTTCCGGAAATAATAAAAGTCCATAACTACCAATTGTTTTTAATGGATGCCATTTTTATATAGAATTGCTTCTTCGCCGTGATAAATTTCCTTACAGTGAATTGTTATTGTTGAGAATAGATTAACTCCTCCCGAATATTATATAATATTGAAATAGTTCTTCTACCAGTATTTTCTCGTTTCCGTCCCGGTTTCAGGCGCAACACCCGGCGTGAACGTGTTATAAGAGCTGCTCATTGACACAGGTGCTACCTATTCATGGGTTCAAAAAATTGCCGAACCTGTAAACCATTTTGAAGCTACTAGAATGCTGCCGAGTTTGCATCAACAAGGAGATAGCTCTATGTTGCGCCCCATCAAAGACTAATAGTACAAAATTATCAATAATTTACAGAATTGCTTAGAAAAAACTTCTCAATTTAAAGTAATTGTTGTTGCTTTTTTATATCACTAATGCATTCGTACAGTCCGACTGTTACGGTAGATTTAGAAAATATTTTTCTTACTAGCAGCAAAAGTTATATACTAACCCTTTACAGTCAGGAAGAATTTCATATTTATTTACACCGGATATGATTAAAAAATTTATAATAAAATTACGTAATTATTTATAAAATTGATATTAATTTAAATTAGATAATTAATCATAGTTTTATTTTAAATATGACAACCATAAGTGTGATAAAATAATTTTTGCCATTGGACCTACATTGTAAAATGGTGAAAATCACTGAAAAAAAATTTGTTAGTTGTCAGAGAAAACTCGGTCCCGAAAATGGTTGCCAGCATTTTTTTTGTGTCGAGGCAAATCAACACCTCGCCAATACCTAAATGATGTTATTTTTTTCTTTTTAGTTCCACTTCCACGGAAGCGATACAAAGCACTTACAAAATTACCTTCCAAAAGATATTTTACCAGCTGAATATGATGGTGATAATATTCATTACAATGCCAAAGATTGGTGCCAAAGAGAAATAGAGTGTTACTATGAAAAATACGCTCAATTGCATCATAAAGGATACCGCTGATTGCACATCTGCTGTTATTGCAAATTATTAGTGCATATGCTAATTTTAAAAACTATCGTTATTCCTGTTGAGATATCATTATATGTTTAATCATAACGACACTGCCAAGCTTTTTAAGCAAAATGTGAAGAGCTATTGAGCTTTAAAACAACCCATGTACCTAATATTGCTCATTAAAAAACAGTCGTACTTCAATTACTGATACTTGGTAAAGATCTGGGTCTACAAAGATCTGGGGATTTATTTATGCTAAGATCTTTGATCTGTGATACGAACTAGAGATATCAAGTCTCAAAGACGAACTGTTAACTTTGATTGAACAAATATCATTCAATGTTTGTATAATTTGTACAGAACATGTTATTGAATTTCTGTATTATCTGAAACATATTTACTTCACTTATGAAACCGGCAGGCGTATGGTAAAGGGCTGGGCACACTTTTTGTTTTTAGAAAACGTTTTATTTATTTTTTTTATTCATATATGCGTATTTATTTTTTCTATCTATGTTTATTTATATATAAATGTAGGTAACAGAGTGCAGAAGTTCATTTGATTTGATAATTAGCAATCCTCCATATATTAAAAGAACTTATTATATATATATATATATATATNACATCGACAACAGCGTCACCTCATCGCTCTCATAGCCTATTTGTGCATGCTCGACCTTTCTGTGAGTTTCAAGGTTAAGTTGCCACTATTTAATTTACAACCTTCGTATATTTTTTCACACAAAATACCTATATATAAGTATAATTCAAGGAGTTTACTTTTACAAATTTTATGATGCTTTTTTTTCTTCACAAAACCAATATATATATATATATATATATATAGTATAAAACCTAAAATATACGAAAAGTCTTTTAAAAAAAAAAGTGTGCTCTCCCCTCCTGCTACGAATGAAACCCATCAAAGTGGTTTTGTTCGGTGGTCTAATAATCTTAGTATAACCTAGCGTTTCAATTAAAATGCATATAATTTAATGTAATACATTTTTGATTAATGATATGATTTCTTTATAATCATTATATTTGAATGTATAGAATTAAAAGTTGAAAAACTTGTTAACTACAATGCTATTTACTCGTATGTCATATCTTCTGTTCATTCAATAAATTAACTTAAAAATTTCGTTTATCTCCTTACTTAATTCTCTACTTTATAAAAAAAGCTTGATCAGTAAAATTTATAAAATAAAATAATTAATTATTCAATTATACAATCCGATAGCCCACTCCAAAGCGTAAGCAATGGGACAAGCATATGGGGTAGCCGGGGACCTGTGAAAATCAGAATCTGGTATTGTTCTCCTTCTTGTTGAACTTGGCTTCATGGAGCCAATAACCGATTAGTACTGGCTTTCTCTTTTATAAAGTTCATAATATTTTCATTTAAAGGTTCTCGTGATCTTCCTCTCCATGTAACGCAAATGCAGATTAGTTCCAAAAAAAACTCTTCCACGAAGGCTAGTTTGTCCCAATGCTCGATCCAGGGGGTTTCTTGTCTTCTGAGGTGGGTATAAAAATTTACACGTGCTGCGGAGTTGAACATTGAAGGTTGTCAGAATTAAGTCGGTTTTTCAAAGCCAGTTATAAAATAAAATAAAGTTTGTAAATTTATAATTCGTGATCAGAAAGTATGCAAACAATAAATTATTATTATTAACAGATGGTTTTAAAATGTCTCTATCAGAATTTAATCGATTTAAAAACCTAGAAATTGAAATGTTGTTTAGACGAATAAGAATAATCATATTTATGTTTAACATTACCACTGGGCAGTGAAATATAAAATTTCTTGAATTTTCGATAACTTATGTTAGCCTACATATTTGTTTCAGCACACTTTCCTTCTGCACTTAAACTGTGTGCTTAGCGAGCTATAAAGATATTTAATTTTTTCCTGTGGTTTTGTCTGCTCCTACTTTCTTTAAATATTTTGTAAAAATGTTTCCATGACCGTGCAAGTTTTAATCTATAACAATGGTTTTCATCAATGAAGATCCTTGTAGATTTGTAAACTGTGCAGAAAACACGATCCAAATCGGCGCTCTCGATATCGAGTTATTAGCGAACATACATCTTGACAGACTTTCGCTTTTACATAGCGAGATTTATTGCGTCATTAAAATTATAAACAGCCGACCTGGTGGACGAGTGGTTAGCGTGCCTGACTGAGGAGCCACTGGTCGCGAATTCGAATCCTGCTCAGGGCATGGATGTTTCTTTCTCTCTGTGTTCTATGTCCTTTCTCCTCTGTGTGTGATTGTGTGAATGTGACCCGCCCTATAAACGGGTTTGCTGTTGTGTGACGTAGGCGACGATGCTCCACCGCCGTGGCTTCGCCACAGGTGCCCACTGGGTAACGAGAAGAGAGTAAGCAGTTCTGGTATTCCAGCGGCCAATGGGACAACCCCCAAGTGCCCGCCATTTAAAAAAAAATATAAATACTTGCAGGCGTCTGCGCGTGATTTAGGCTTAGAAGCCTTTATCAAGAAGAAGATCAATTCAGAGAAGGACATCACGTAAAATAATGCATCCTGGCTGACGGCGGGTTTCGAACCCGCCACCTCACGCTTTGCCGAGCGTTTGGCGGGTGATACCTCTCGGGCACGGCAGCCCCATATAGAAAGAGTCCTAGTGTTTTGATTTTACTGGGCACCTGGGCTGCGAAGCGACCCTTCTATATATAGAGAGAAGAAGAAATGAAACTATTACAGAAGGTTTTTTTGAAAATAAAAGTTGTAGCCAATAAAAGAAAATAACAACTTCATTTAACCGTTACTACGTTGTACCCTTTTTTAGAAAGAAAACTCAAAGTTTTCTACCTTCCAGATGTGCCTCGTTCAAGCTGACAAGTAACGAGAATGCATAACCATTCTGGCTTTTGCACAAGATCATGTGACCGTACATAGTCCATTTGTGACGCTGCATCGGTTTATCACAAATGATATATACTTCTTTTTATAAGTAGTTTTTATGTCCAAAATTCGATTCCTTCGCAGAGAAAATATTAACACATTTAAGGATCTGGTTGGGTAAATCAGGTAAGTGACATTTTCAGAGTGACTATAATCAGAGAAAGAAGAAAAAAAAGTTATGTTAGAACTATTTTATTATTGAATAATTAGAAGGTGGGGCTAATAATTCTTTGCATTTATGTGTATATTAAACAAAATTATTGACCTTAAATTTTATGCAGTTGCTAAAAATCAAAATAAAATATTAAATCATGCTAATATAATATTTTAAAATATATGAGAAAAGAAGTTAGCATATGCATCGCAAAAAAATTTACATAAAATAGCGAAATAAAAAAATAAAAAATAACTGCTAAAGGAAAGGAACTGCAGTAATTTCTGTAGCAATTAATTAATTAAAAAGCTTTTATCAATGCGCACTTCACTTCCTGGTGAGGAGAAGATTGGTCCTTGTATTATTTACTGTCCTTGAAAAAGTGAATATAACACTTCTTCAAATCGAGGGCACATTAGATAAACTATTTCTGATGTAACTGTTGATGACATCTTACTATAGATAAGGCACTATTGATGAGGTCACACAAATGTTTAATGGATGGAAAAAAATAAATTATATACAGTCAAACCCCGCTATAGTGAGCACGGTTTATAGTGAACTCCCGGATATAGTGAACGAAATGTTCGGTCTCGTGCCTTGCTATACACGTATAATGTTATTTTTTGTGGATCTAGTGAACCAAAAAAGTTAGGAAGTTGGATATAATGAACTTTTTTCTGCCTTCGACTAATTTTTTTCTTCATTTTTTTTTTTGCAATAATTTTGGAATTTCTACTTCAAAATAAATACATATACCGATGTTTAAAACCATCTATAGAGGGAATGTAGCGATAAGCATTTTTTCTTGTTGGCTTCTTTTATCTCACTTTCCTATCCCTAAATAACCCAAGCAGATGTTTTTAACCCAGTCAGATGATGCACCTGTAGGGTGTCAGTGGGATCAATATGCACTTTCTGTCAGAAGGAATAAGTAAATAATTATTCATTAGTGGTAAAAGAACTGGACACTAATATGTGTTGATAAGGCCCTCATTTCAACTCCTTTTTGCTCTCAGTTCAGCCAACAAACAAATGTCTCAAATTTAACTATGGCAACCAGTAAACGTAAAACGTTGTCCATTGATGATAAAATGGGCATTATCAGAAAAATTAAAATTGGATGCAATCAAGTTGATATTTGCAGGCAATATAAACTATCTGCTCATGCAATTAATAATATCTGCTCATGAAAAAAAATTTAGATGGCAGAAAAAAGTTGAGAAAAGCAGATCACAAGGATGTTGAAGAAGNCGTGACGAAATTCTTTCCTGTAGTTTGTGTCGATGACGCAGATTATGTGGTAGCAAGATGCATATCATTATCTAACTATTTTTGTGGAAATTAAATTTTCTCGTGTGGCTGTAACATATCAATAACGTGACAACAACAAAATATTATTTAAGGTTTACTCTAACATTACTGTCCTCTAGTCTAAGAAGTAATCAAAAAATTAACGCCAACCTATTCCTATTTGTTTCGAATTCATTGTTCATTTACTCTTACCCAACTGCAAATTCACTCTTGATTTGAATTTTATAAAATAATTATTATTAATAATAAATAATAATTCATAGTATATTTGCATTTTGATTTTATTTTTTAAAGGAAAAAATCAATCATAAGAAATTGTTAAGTTTTACCCTTGGCTGAGAATTCTGAAAATCGGCCAATACTTCTTATTTATGACTAATTTAATGGCCAATAATTATAAATCCTTATTGCGGGCCCTGTATATATATATATATATATATATATATACAGGGCCCGCAATAAGGATTTATAATTATTGGCCATTAAATTAGTCATAAATAAGAAGTATTGGCCGATTTTCAGAATTCTCAGCCAAGGGTAAAACTTAACAATTTCTTATGATTGATTTTTTCCTTTAAAAAATAAAATCAAAATGCAAATATACTATGAATTATTATTTATTATTAATAATAATTATTTTATAAAATTCAAATCAAGAGTGAATTTGCAGTTGGGTAAGAGTAAATGAACAATGAATTCGAAACAAATAGGAATAGGTTGGCGTTAATTTTTTGATTACTTCTTAGACTAGAGGACAGTAATGTTAGAGTAAACCTTAAATAATATTTTGTTGTTGTCACGTTATTGATATGTTACAGCCACACGAGAAAATTTAATTTCCACAAAAATAGTTAGATAATGATATGCATCTTGCTACCACATAATCTGCGTCATCGACACAAAATACAGGAAAGAATTTCGTCACGTGATATCACGCCATCCAGTAACGACGCATTAATTAGTATTTTACAGCAGTTAGTCTCATGCTTACTTAATCTCTCTAGCTACTGATGATATAATTATATTTCCTAAACTTAATATAATTCTAATTAGATATGATTTGTTCATAAAAATTCCTTATGAACTTTTTTTTCAGGATTGAGGGGAATATATATTTTTCTAGAAAAAATCATTCGCACATACCCTCGTTAAAACAAAACTTTTCAAGCCAAATTCAAGAAATTATAGCATTTGGCGAGAGGGCGAATGCTTATTTCAACTTTTCAAACTCTTAAGAATATCAGATGATCTTCCGTTATCTAAAATCTCACGAAGGCCTGGTTTCTGGAACATTTGAGGTTTGTTTGTTTTGTTTGTTTGTTTTTTTCTGCGAAAGAGGGAATGCTGAGATACATCATATAAACTAGCTTTATTTAGGGATTATATTTAAGAGGAACAAATATAAAATGGCAAGCATAATAATGAAATAAAATAGCAAGCAGCTCCTTTTCAATGGAGACGAAGAGATGCATTTTTATATGACANTTGTTTGTTTGTTTGTTTGTTTGTTTGTTTGTTTGTTTGTTTGTTTGTTTGTTTGTTTGTTTTGTTTGTTTTGTTTGTTTGTTTTGTTTGTTTGTTTTTTTCTGTGAAAGAGGGAATGCTGAGATACATCATATAAACTAGCTTTATTTAGGGATTATATTTAAAAGGAACAAATATAAAATGGCAAGCATAATAATGAAATAAAATAGCAAGCAGCTCCTTTTCAATGGAGACGAAGAGATGCATTTTTATATGACAATTATAACTATAAATGGTCCAAAAATAACCTAGTCCTAGACCAAAAAATTTTAAATTTCCAGAAAATTAATTTTTTTAACTGACACTTACGAACATGAGAAGAGATCCAAAGTTGGCATTATAGCCACACAAAAAAGGCGACCCCCGCGTTATTGATATTACATTTTAAATCAACTGGCCACATTTTAATCACCGAAGTGACCGTGGAAATTTAATATAACCTTTCAACCGAAAAAAAAATTTTTTTTTTGGTTGGACAAATAAAACAACTTAAAGGTAAAAATATATTTTGATATTCTAACAGTCAAGACACTGTATTCATGAGTTACACACTTGCATTGGATAAAAAAGCTATATTGAGAAAAGCTATATTGATTGGCCGCTATATTGAGAAAAGAATGAAAATATTTATATTCGCTTTGTATGAAAAGTTATTAAAAAATTTATTTAATTATAATTGAATTACGAAAGATTAAAAATTTAAATTAAATTTATGAAATTCAATCTGAATGGAAGGAATGGGTTAGGAAATCTGCAATGCATATAATAGCATGACTGCCTTATTTTATTTACCCCAGCCTAATCTTATATATATAATTCTCTTGCGGGGCTCCCAAATTTTGGCTGTATTTCCTTTCCGCCGGTGGCAACGTTTGCTTTGTTTTGTTTACGTTACTATTTATCTTAGACGGCGAATCGACCAATGATTGCCGCGAAAAATTTCAAATGCCAAATCTAGCTGAGGTGGCTCAACATATAGCGCTTTTAAAAACGGAAACGGAAATAACCGGACAGCATCAGCTGCGGCAATCTCATTCTATTAAGCTAGGCAGAAGTGAGTAGTATTTGTCGATAGATCTCTATTTTAGTATTTTGTCGAAAGCGCTTTTCTTCACGGATTTATATATTACGAATTTATTTGACGATTTTTGATTTAGATAACGAATTATACTATAGCACATTTCTAATTGGTGTAACGAATTGCATGTCATTTATTTGAATTTAAATTTATTTTAATGACTAAAAAAATGTAGTTTTTTTTTACAAAAAAGTTTTTATATGGATTTAAATGATTGTTTTGAATTCTTAGAATTTTGTGCATTTGCAATGTACCTAAGTTAGTAGCGAGCGAAGCGAGCTTGGTTTTCGAAGCAAACCATATAAGATTGCATAGCAATTTTCGGGGGTTGGCGAGCGTTAGCGAGCAGGGGGCGCAGCCCACTAGTTTGAAATAAAAATCATGGAAGCATACTCAAAATTAACGGGTATAGTTAGGTTAAAATTTAAGTGAAAACGGTTAAAAGTACGGTGTTTCTTAAAGCTAAGTTAAAGAAAGAAATACCCATTTGCTTTCAATCAATACTTAGTACTATTGTTTTCGCATATAGATAAGTTTTCCACACAATGATCAATTTTTGTGGTTTAGCATTAATAGATTAAACTTATGTTCAAATCATTGATTCTTCATAAAAGAGTTGAACTCAAAAATAATTTTTTTAATATCTTTTTTAAATGATTCTTCCTGAAAGAGTTCACTCAAAAATATTTTTCTTCTTTAACAAATTGTATCAAAAATAAAGCTATCAATATATTTACACGGTACATAAATATTTGCTGGAAAAGATCCATGTTTTCATCAAGTCATATTTGTCTAGTCGCTTAAAATAAGACAAAAATTTTATTTTTTATGAGTCTAATTAATTTTTTTTTTTTTTAGATAATTATTCACTTACAGTTGTTAGATAATATTTGTTACGTTTGTTCAGATGTGCAAAAAGTAACGTTTTAACATATACTGATAAATAAAATGATGCCTTTCGAACTTTAAACAGTATTTTTTTTCATTTTGAAAAAAATTATCGCCACGCAAAAAAAATCTATTTGTTTGATTGATAAACGATTCATGCGATAACATTTTCCATCAATTTTTAATTATTATAAATAAAATCTTTCTTTTTGTATCTTATTTGTATAAATTTTTTCAGGAATTGTGTTTGAGTGTATTGGAATGAAATCATTATATTTTTACGAAACAAAAATTTTCAAATAAATTTTATTCATAATTGAATTATTTGAAACGAAACAAAAGTAATAAATTGTAACAAATTGTGACATTTTCGGATTTTTAAAAAAAAAGTAAGTGATTTGCTTTTTGTTTCATTTTCTAAAATAATTTTACATTTCCTGTTATTAAAATTTGTTTATCATCGGACGATTTTTTTTCTTTCATTTTGGATTTTCTAGATTACTTAAAATTTTATTTTTTGCTTTTTTTTTAGATCACTTAAGCTTTGCTTTGCCTTTTTATTTAGATTACTTGAAATTTATCTAGAATGCTAAAAATTAGTTATTAAAACTTATGTTTCTATGTCGAGCTTTTTTTTTTTTAATTTCAGATTTTCTGGATTACTTAAAATTTAATTTCTTGCTTTTTTCCTAGATTGCTTAAATTTTGTTTTACTTTTTTTCTAGATTGCTTAAAATTAATTTTGATAACTAAATAATGTTATTAAAACTTATATATCTCTGGCGTGTTTTTGCTTTTTTTAATTTTAGTTTTTCTAAGTTACATAAAATTTTATTTTTTTCTTTTCTTTTCTAGATTCCCTAAAATTTGTTTAGATAACTAAATACATGTTATTGAAATTTGTCTATTGTTGGCAAGTTTTTTTTTTAAATTTTGGGTTTCCTAGATTACTTAGAATTTTATTTTTTGTTTCTTCTTTAGATTACTAAAAATTTATTTCGCTTTCTTCTAAAGTACTTAAAATTTGCTATTAAAATTTGTCTCTCGCCTGTCAGCTTTTTTTTAATTTTTGATTTTCCAGATTACTTTAAATATTATTTTTTGCTTTTCTTCTAGATTGCTTATATTTTGTCTAGATTACTTGCAATTAATTATTAAAATTTATCTCTTGTCTGTCAGCTTTTTTTTAATTTTTGATTTTCCAGATTACTTTAAATATTACTTTTTGCTTTTCTTCTAGATTGCTTATAATTTGTCTAGATTACTTACAATTAATTATTAAAATTTGTCTCTCGTCTGCCAGCTTTTTTTTTAATTTTTGATTTTCCAGATTTCTTTAAATATTACTTTTTGCTTTTCTTCTAGATTACTTATACTTTGTCTAGATTACTTGCAACTAATTATTAAAATTTGTCTCTCGTCTACCAGCTTTTTTTAAATTTTTGATTTTCCAGATTACTTTAAATATTACTTTTTGCTTTTCTTCTGGATTGCTTATACTTTGTCTAGATTACTTGCAATTAATTATTAAAATTTGTCTCTCGTCTGCCAGCTTTTTTTTAATTTTTGATTTTCCAGATTACTTTAAATATTACTTTTTGCTTTTCTTCCAGATTGTTTACACTTTGTCTAGATTACTTACAATTAATTATTAAAATTTGTCAACCGTTTCCGAGCTTTATTTTTAATTTTGGACGTAACTCAAAATGCATTTCAGTTTTTTGTGAAATATTTTCCACAGTGGTAGTAAATGCGAGGAAATTGATTTCAAACAAATAATTATTTTTAAATTTTTACCATAATTTCTGTACATGGTAACTTGTCTATCTGATATACTCTGTATTTCTTTAAATTGTTTATATATCTGTATTCGGGGGAAAATGATACATCTTAAATAAATTAAAATTTATTTAAGAACATTTTCTAAAATCATATAATTAAATTTCAACCTTATCATTTATAAACTTTTTTAAATTATCCAGTATAATATTACCTTGCGCACATCCATTTTTGGAACAATCCTTCGTAACTAACAAATCAAACGCTCTTCAGTACTGCAGTAAGAACGCTTTCAAAAAAAAATTCCTCCATTTACGCTTTTAGCTCAATTAGCGCTTTTGGTTTCATATTTTGTAATTTGGCAATCTTATTATGAGAATATTTTAAATCATTCTTGAAAATTTTCCAGTACGTATAAATTCATTTGAATTCGCTTTATAGATTTCTGTTCTGTTTTTTCTGTTTTGTTTTGTTCTGTTTTTTTCTTTAAATTTTATTTTATGTTTTTTACGTGATGTTTATTACTTACTGTGTTCTATTTTGTTTCAAATTTTTTAGTACTCCTCACACTATTGTATTGATATATTTCGCTTTGTTATATTGATACAATATTAAAGAGTGCTCCTTTTTGCGGAGATAATCGTGCGAGCTGATGAAAAGATTATACACATTTTTTTCGCCACATTTTTATTGAAATTTTTTATTATGATATTTTAATAATTTTCTTCTCCATTTTATAATCTTTCCATGTTTTCTCTACATTTGGAACTTCTTAATTATACTTATACATATATAATACTTAGTTATACATATATATATATAT